CCCCCCCCCCCCCCCCCCCCCCCCCCCCCCCCCCCCCCCCCCCCCCCCCCCCCCCCCCCCCCGGAGCTAGAGCCTGTCCTGTCGGAGCTAGGGCTGGAGGACGGGTAGCTCAGGCTCTGGCTAGCCCGCTAGCCTCCCACTCCCCAGATAACAGCTCCAACCTTGACTTCTCAGAATCAGAAGATCCTGTCTGGCTGGGAGCGGGTGATGACCTGAGCCTGATCGCCCCCGCTCTCCGCCTCATCTCCTGCTCCCAGGGCCCAAATTGTCGTCACTTTCCCAGTGAAGTGTCTGGTCATTTTCAGAAGCAATTTCAGGAGAAAATGCAGCTGCTGCTCCCAATCCTGCTTTTCTTCTCCCAGGGCTGAGGGAGCTGCCAGCTCTCTGGGTGGGGGCGGGGGTGGGGAGGGCTAAATGGGTCCTGGGCCTCCACTCTTCCACCGAGTTGATGGATACTAGTTCAAGGATGGGTGGGGCTCACCACCCCCCTCCCATCTTCCCCTGCCTCCTCTCTGCTGTCTTTGCCTTTCCTTTCTTCTGGAGCCCAGGGTCCTGATGTCTATAGGCCCCCATTTTCTCACCCCTGGATTTCCCACACATGGAAAAGGACTGGAAGGGACTTTTTCGCCCTTTTTTCCTTTGAAGGGAATCAGTTCTGCCATCGGTCCTGTCCCAGCACATTCAGTGACTCTCAAAGTGTAGGCTGCTTCAACCTCTGAGGGCCACAGGCTATTGGGGACCACCCTGACGCCCCCCCCTGAGGACCCATTCAAGGGCCTCAGGGCTGGCTTAATCCAGCTCTGACTCAGCCCAGGCTCTTCCAAGTCCTCAGGGCTTCTTCCTAGTTCTGGCTGCAGGTACTGCCTGACAGAGAACTGTCAGCCCTCTGTCTAGTGTCACACAGGGCCCAGCTCCACCCTCACCCAGGGAGTCCACAGCTGAGGATACGGAGTACACGTTGTCTTGTGCACACAAGCTTGTGTGCCCCTGGAGAATGGCCATCTAACTTGTCTCACTTCCGTACAACTGAGCATACATGCACACGTGCATATACGGGGGTCTAGTGGGGTCAGGGATGGGGGTATCTGCTGCTACAGACCCGGACTTTATGACTGTCTTCTCTGTGGAGACAGCATCTGAGATGTGCCTCAAATAAATGTACAAAGAAAAAACAAACAGAAAACTATAGCTTAACAGCAGCTCCATAGCAGAAACAGACACTGTACGTGTCATTTACGTACGATTTGTGGGCAAACGAAGCTGCCTGTTCCAGCTCCTAATGCCTCCCTCCTACATCACCTCTCTAACTCCGGTCAGCATCCACCCTTTCAAGTCTTTGCTAATCTCAGAGATCAAGGGTGATCAGCTCCCTCGCAGCCTCGACTCCTGCCATCCTCTGTGAGATACAGCATCATCAAAGGACATTATTCATGGTGGGACCTTTGCTGAAGCTCTGCTTCCCTGATGTCAGGGCTTGGGGATGGGGTGACTGTGTTGGGAGGAGGGGCTGACAGAACCAGGGCCACCAGGCATTTGGTCCTCAGATTTTGAACTCACCTGCTCCTGCACAGCCAACTCCCTTGGTCTGCCCAGCTTGGTCTTCCGTCTCTAGGATGCTGTAGATTGGAGAGGAGGAGGAAGGAGCCATCTAGGTTAGGTCCAGTCGGAAGCAACCACTGGGCTTCTTGGAGGAATGAACGTGTTATGCCATTTGCATGTAAATGCCTCCCACTTCTGTCCCTCACCCCACCAAATGGTCGAAGCTCTGGGTGCTGGCCCATGCTCCTTGCATACACAGCCCTGCAATTAACTGGGTAATGAGAAACTTTTAATGAGGCCCCGTTAGCCTCTCCTATCGTAAAGAGACCTTGATGCCCAGCTGCTACCCACATTCTGGGGTGAACACGGGGCCAGGGTGACCTATCAATATGACCCAAGTCCCAGGGCATGTGGAATGGGGACAAAGGACTTCAGGACCCTGTTAGTGCTAGAAGTGTTCATATTTGGGGGTAGAAATTTACAAAAAAAAACAAAACAAAACAACCAACCAAACAAAAAACCTTGGCTCTGGCTTCCTTTTCCATAAATTTTTATTGAGCATCTGTGATATGTATGCCAAATACTGTAGGGTGAGGGATACAATAACAGACAAAACTCTTGTCCTTGAGATGCTTAGGAGGGCTGGTGTATTTGACAGAGAAATAAACTCTCAGCATGTTGGGTCTAAGTGCTGGAGGAAGGGGGTGGGGGGACAGAGTGGGAGCAATCTTAAGTAGGGTGTCTGGAGGAGTCTGCGGAAGAGGGGCACACATAACTAACTCTCTTCTCATCCCAGAACATAAAAGGATTCAAGTTTCCAAATCTCTGAGACTCGGAAAGATGTTCCTCTGTGCCCTCTGGAAGAGCAAGTGGTTTCCCTCGAAGGTCAACATGCCAATACAGGGGGAAAAAAATGAGAGATTTAGCCTGGCCATGGCTAAATTAGTACTGAGTAATCTCAGTACTCAGGAGGAACAGGCAGGCGGGTCTCTGTTTAAAGCCATCCTGATGTACAAAACAAGTTCCAGGACAGTCAGAGCTATTACACAGAGAAACCCTTTATCCAAACAAACAAACAACAGAGAGATTTGGAGTAAGAAGAGCCAGATTTTTGTATATGCTAGATCAAGTCACCGAACTTCCCTGAACTCAGTCTCCTAATCAGAAAAATGGGAATATTTCTTGTTTCTATTGTGGAGGCAAGGAAACTCAAATCCTATGACATATTTAAGCTCCACACCCTGTGGCCAGATCCCAGTTGCCACTTTCGCTGGTCCTCTCTGAGTTCTAATTCCGATCCTTGCTCTCCTCCCCTGACTCTGTCCTGGGCTAAGAAACCGCAGAAAAGTCCCTCATCTGTGTGGGATGTCAACGAGGGCTAGAAGGGTCAGAGAAGATGTCTGAGCTTTGAGGGAAAAGGGAGGCAGTTAGGTGAGCAGCATTGCAAGCCGAGCAAGGTAAGGAGGGAATGAGCAGTCCTGGTGAACTGGGCTGCAGCAGGAAGGGTGGAAGCCAGAGGCCGCTGGTGCAGTCAGGGAGGCAAAGGTGGGCAGAGGAGGGTCTCCATCCTCAGTCCAGCAGCCCTGTTTCTCCCTTGGGGTAAGGACCGGGAGGAGGGCAGAAGGAACTAGATTCACCCTCAGTCTTGGAGTGGGGCCTCAGCCCCAGCTGCCGTGATGGTGGCAGGGCAGAGAGACACCTGTCTGAGCTGTTTCAGGCTGTAGTCCAGCTCGGAGGATAAGGAAGAGGAGCTGGCGAGTTCTGAGAAAAAAGGTCCAGGAGACACACCTACTGAGCTCGACCTGGCATGCAGTCCTGTGAGAGGTCACATACAACGACATTCCTTAGAGTGCCTGCCTTGGTTGCCTTTGGAAAGTGGGCTGCAGGACAAGTGTGTGTGTGTGTGTGTGTGTGTGTGTGCGTGTGTGCGTGTGTGTGTGTGTGTGTGTGTGTGTGCGCGCGCGCCTGCGTGTCTGGGTGTGTGACAGCAGCTTGCATCCTCTCCCCTACCAGCTTTCCTCCTCCCCTCCAGCCACCCTGGGATTGGTGACTCTCAGCCCCTCCCCTCGGCTCCCCCAAACCCTCCCAGAACCTTTATCAGGGAGCTGGGACTGGTCCCTGCCACCTTCCAGAGCCCTGCTCTCTTGCGTCTCTCTCTGCAGCAGCACCAGCCGGCTCCCTGATCCTGCCATCCAGCCAGCTCCACAGGTAGGTTCTGGGTACTGCGGTGGACTGCAGCTGGCCCCAGGATGATGGGCTTAGAACCAGAGGGGGAAAAAGGGAGAGGGCAGCCTCTGATAGGCAAGTAGGGTACCAGGAAGGCATCAGAAAGGGCCTGAGGATGGAGAGCTATTAACGTTTGGCGTCTGGGGCCAGAATCAAGACTGATTCTTACAGGT